CCCTGTGTTCTTTCAGTAAGAGGAAAATTCTTCTCACTGAATATTGTTTTAAATCAAGTGGTCACTGTGGAGCCATATGGTCATTGCAATGACTATCCCAGGACAGGATTAAGTGACTTGCCCAGGGTCACACAGCTAATAACTGTCTAATGACAGATTTGGATTCGGGTCTTCCTGACTCTAGTCTTGGTGCTTTCTCCTCTGTACCACTTCATGTCATTTTAATGGCAACATCACTTCTGACCCCATGTGGCCCCTGTGAAAGGCATACCTCTGACAATTCACCCTAGTCAGGTACAATAAGAAAGGTGACCTGTCTGTCTGGAGAGTCTCTTCCATGCCCCTACAACAAAGACGTGACTGTTTTCTTCACCAAGGAGGACTTCCCTAACTTGTGCCTTTGGTTCCTTCCCACCCTCTTGCCTTCTGGGAGTTTAGCACATTGACTGCTCCACATATCTCTTTAATCCTTAATCTCTCCTCGCCTTTTGGCTCATTCTCTATTTCCTACAAATGTGCCTGATTCTCTCCCATCCTTTAAACATCTTCACTTGACTCTGCCATCCCTTCAAACACCTATCCTGGAGCTCTTCTCCCTTTCACAGCCAAACTCCTGTAAAAGGAGCTTCATACTCACTGATTCCATTGACTCACTTCCTGCCCAGTTATCAACTCTGGCTTCTGATGCCACCACTAGATTGAAACTGTTATCTCTAAAGTTACCAGTGATTTCAAGCAATATATCTGATGGACTTTTCTGAGTCTTCATTCTTCTTAACTTTTCTTCAGATGTTTACATTATTGACCATCTCTTCTTCCTGGATACTCCCTTGCCCCTTAGCTTTCATTATTCTAGGCTGTCCTGGTTCTTCTCCTTCCTCTTTATTCCTTTATTGGTTCATCTTCATGTCTTATCCCCACAGTATGAGTGTACCAAAAGATTCTGTTCTAAATTTGTCATTTTCCTCTCCCTCTCTCCCTCTCACCCACTCTTTTCTTTCCCCCTTCTTCCCACTCCATTCTTAGTGATCTCACCAGCTCTCACGAGTTTAACTGTTGTTGTTATGCAAGATGACTCCCAAAGCCCCAATTTGAATGCTGGATTTTGAATTAGAGGATATCAGTTCAAATCCCAGCTCTATTGCTTATTCCCTTTGTGACTCTGGGTAAATCATTTAACCTCTCAGGTCCTCAATTTCCTAATTTAAAAAATGAAGAGGTTGGGTAAGATAATTTCTAAAGTCCTTTCTAGTTCTAAACCTATGATCTTATGACCTATGCTATCTCTTCTGGGCTTTATCCTGCATCCCTAGCTACCTAATAGGTAACCCTGATTCAGTGTTTCATAGTCACCTTGAACTCAACATTTGAAAAGGAGAACTCATCTTCACACTAAACCTTCCTTGCTTCCTTTAGGAATCTGTTGCCCTTAAGCATTTATTGAGGATGCCACCATGTTTTCAGCTATCTAGCTTCAAAATGGTAGAGTCATACTCAACTTTTTACTTTCTCCCTCATCCTCATATTCAATCAATTTCAGGTCTTACAAATGCTACCTAAATAATGTCTCTCACAGCTGTTCTCTTCTCCCCATTCTACTGGTCCACATCCAAATTCCAGCACTCATTTCCTCTCTCACAGATGACTGAGGCACCTTCTTAATTGATCGCTCTGTTTTGTATCTCTCCTACTATGGAATCCAATCTCCAGGTTGCTACCAAAATAATCTTAGAGCACAAGGATGACTGCATCCCTCTACAGATCAAAAATCTTTAGTGATTTCTTTTTTTGCCTCTAGAATAACATCCAGATGCCTTGCTTGGCTTCATAGTCTGACTCTAACCTGCATTGATAGACTTATTTAATAATTTATGATAATAATAATAATAATAATAGCCTACATCTATATAGAACTTTAAATTTTGCAAAGCACTTTAAACATTATCTTATCTGATCCTTACAACAACTCTGGGAAGTAGGTGTTATTGTTTTCCTCATTTTAAAGTTGAAGAAACTATGGCAAATACAGGTTAAGCGATTTGTCCAGGGTCACACAAACACTACTACTAGGCAGTATTTAAATTTTGGTCTTTCTGACTACATTTCATCTAATACATCCTTGTCTTTGCACCCATTGATTGTCCTTCATGCCTGTAATTTTCTTCCTCTCTTCTACTTCTCCCTAGCTTCCTTAAAGGCTCAGGTCAGTAGTAGCCTTTCTCAAAACTACTTTGAATTTGGTTCTATTTGCGTATCTTTTGGTCTTCATATCCCTAGTGTTTTGCACATAGTAGGCACTCAAAAAGTGTTTGTCAAATAAATAAGTGAATAGCGAATAATATTATACCTTTGAAACCAGTGCTTTCTCATAAGGACATTGCATTTTAATCAAAAGTTTTATTTTTCTCTGTTCAAATTCATCAACTTGACTAAAGAAGGATGTATTTGATTTGGGATTTAACTATATCCAATAGCTATTCCTACTTTTCCTTCTTTATCACAGGGGCTTCTAGAGTTCTTTGTTTTCTGTTTGTTTTTTAATGTAACTGGCATTTCATATTGCATAGAAGTAAAGACTATGATCCCTCAGAAGTAGAAGACTGCTCTTCCCAAAGGGAATACATGACCTGACAGCAGTTCTCAAGCTTTTTGGTATCAGGACCCCTTAACACTCAATTACTGAGAACACCAACAAGCATTTTTGATGTGGGTTGTATCTATTGAAATTTACCATATTAGAAATTAAAATTTATAAATATTTTAAGATAACTATCAATTCATATAAAATAAACCCATTACACGTTAATCTAAATAAGATAATTTTTATAAAAAATGTCTATATCAAAAAAAACCCCAACAAATTAACAAGAAGAGTGACATTGTTTTACATGTGTGCACATCTCTAATGTCTAGCTTAATAGAAGGCAGCTAGATTATCACATACGATTCTCCATTCAATCTGTTGCAGTGTTATTTTGATTGAAGTATATGAGTTAAATCTGGCCTCACACAGATAAATACTTGGATAAAGAAGGAGTGTTTTAATATGCAAATTATGTTTAAGTATTACAAAATAAGTTTTGATCTCACAGAGCTCCTTAAAGGTCTCAGAGTCACACTTTGAGAACCACTGCTCTACAAGACATTCTTAATTCATCTTTGGGTCTACAGATACCGTAGAGATTTTACACATACACACACACACACACACACACACACACACACACACACCCCTCTCTACCCCTGCCAAGTCTCCACTGACATTTCAAAGGTAGATTTAATGTAAGTCATTAGTGAACTGAAAGTTAAAGTCTGCATTATGTTGAATACAAGGGTTTCTTTTAATGAAAAAGACTTGATGAACCCATACATCAAGTAGCTGAAAATCCAAACCACAAAATGCCGTGTAACTGTGGGGTTCCATGGAGCACATAATTTTCAGTGGTAAATGGTGGTACATATTAAAGTCAAAACTGGAACTGAGCTCTTCTGACTCTAGCTCTCATATGCTTTCCACTACAACAGGAAGGCAAGATTTTCTCTTCTCTTTAGACCTGAGATTCTTAAACCTTTTGTGAGAGAGAGAGAGAGAGAGTGTGTGTGTGTGTGTGTGTGTGTGTGTGTGTGTGACAGATCCCTTCAGCAATCTGGTGAAACCTATGGACCTTTTCTCAGAATAAGATATTTAAACATATAAAATAAAATGCCTAGGATTTCAAAGAGGGAAGGAAATAAGCATTTATTCAGTGCCTGCTATATGCCGGCACTGTTCTAAGTGCTTCACAAATATCTCATCTGATCAAAGAAATCCAATTATATTAATGTACATTTATGAAAGTATTTAAAAAAGTTCATAGACAACAACTAAATAATCCTTGATGGAAGCAGACTTAATATTTCATTAATTGCCCCTGGATACAGAGCAGCATCTCGAGCTGGACATGCAGTTGGTTTCTACCCACAGTCAAACATTACCGATTCAGTTTATTAACCTCTAACACCTACCCTAATAACTGCTCTACCTTAGCTTTGAAAATTTCCCAAATTAACTCACTTCATTTTGATTCTATTTCATAATCATACCATAGGTTTTTTTTTTACCTTGAAAAATTAATTGCTATCATCAAAGCCTCCACACAATCTCAGGTGGGAGGACAATGTTAAGTTAGCCTTTTGTTATATGAGACAATGGAGTTGAGCACAAATATTTATATTTTTTGGCAGTTAAGAACAGAGACCAGATTGGAACTCAGGAAACATCTACTCTGGCATTTACTTTGGGGAGAATTAAAGACTAGACTTCCCCTTGAATAGCATCTTACCTTTCTGAAAATATGGAACTTCATAAATATTAAATTACATCATTTTAATGTGTCTGTGTGACAGCTTCTAATTCTTTATTTCTCTTTTTAAAACAGAAAGCCACCACAGATAGTTTCCAGTGTTTCCAAAGAGTCTGGGCAGTAGCTAGGAAGCAGAGACAAGCATCTAGACAGACACGTACAATTACAGTAATGTTGAAGGGTAAGAAAAATGAGCTGCTGGTGTCAGACTGGCACAGTATGTCTAGGAGAGCCCCAAGAAGATGGATGTGATATTGGGGTCAGCCAACCAGACAATGGATGATATTCCTGCAGCTGTTAGGGCATTGTCTGAGCCCACACTGGCAACAGCTTGTGGTCTATCTTAGAAACCAGATCTCTCTCACCCAAAATAAATTAATTAACATCAATCCTTCTAAATTAGAATGTCCAGCCAGTCTGCCTGCTTAGCTTCTGTCAGCTTTCTTCCTTAATCCTTGGGTCTACTCTCTTTTTTTTTCCAAATAGCTTTCCAAGCTGCAGACCAAGTAATTCCTAATATTTAATTCAACTGTACTATGCCAGGAGATTGTAATCAAGCTTTTAAAAACTGCAGCATTGTGGCTACATGAACATCTACTGAAGCCCAGCTTTCCTTTGTTATACAGGTATCCATTCAAGAAGGGTTCAAGACTCCATCTGGAATTGTCTGGCCAGTACGTAGATTAATCACTCTGTAGTGCCAGTTGGAAGACACAGATGAAGGATTATCCATTTGGAGCTTCAACAACTTTCATATCTCCCTACAAGAACTACAAAAAAAGGTTTGTATGATATGCCCTAATCTAGGAGAATACCAAGGGAAATTAAGATTATAATAGTTGAAAGAAGTTGGGTGCTGAAGTCAGCTCCTATGGCTCCTGAGAGACAAATGTTAAATTTTTAGTGTGAGAACTTACATCTCAGAGATCAGTAAATGCTACAAATTGAGACTTGATTTATTGTTTTGTTGATTGTCTAGACTTATGAAAACGATAGGTTAAAATGTTAATATTATAAATTAAACTAAAAAATGTGCCATGCCTACATTTTTTTTCAGAGAAGCAGATTTCAAATATTTGCCAGCATGCCCCTGCTTGAAAGCATTCCTTACAGGGTTTTCCATATGGTAGTTCTCTAGTATTTCAATGGATCTGTGTTGCCAGAGACATGGTTTCTCCCTTTAAGGATGTGGATCCCAATCCACACAGGCCTTCCCATCCTTTATGATTTTTAACCAAGTCCTCCCATAAATTTGCTACAAAGCATTTCCCAAAACATGTTGGGGACCCACTTCATTCACATTCCCCTGACATCATGAGGATACCATGGAGCACACATATGACTCATAGGAGGAGAAGGGAGAGAAAGGGAAGGGGGAGAAAATGGGGGAGGAGAAGAAGTGAATAAGAAGAGAAAGTAAAGAGCAGGTAGAGGAGGAGTGGGGAAGGAAAACAGAGAAGAGGAAGGGAGTAGGAGGAGGGGAGGTAGGAAGAGAAAGAGAATGTTGTTACAAGGACCAAGTGGTCAAGTAGGACCAATTCCCAGTAAGGGGGCACCCAGAATGGAGCCAGTTTGCCAGGCATGACACAGCATAATTCCACCAAGTTGGACCTACATGGAATGGATGATAGCAAATTATCTAAGCACCTTGAATAGGAGGAGTGAGCTAAGACAATGAAGCCTGCACAGAGCAAGCTCTTTAGAGACGACTTCGAACAATGGAGGAAATGGAGGAAGTGGCTTATCAGAGAAAACAGGAGCAGCAGATTACCTAAACTGCATGCGGCAATCAGAAATGAGGTAGCTTTGTTTTTCCAAGCAATGATCTCTAAAAGACTGTACATCCCTAAGGTAGAACCATCAACAGAGCTGAGCTGTACAAAAAAAAAACCGAGGCCGACTTCAAGACATTCTCTGGTTTTATTGCGAGGAAGGGACTTCACTAGTACATAAAAAGTCACCACCTGCTATGGTGGTATTAGAGTCAGACTAACTCAGAGCCAGCTAGCACAATTCCACTTCAAGGAGGCAGTGAGAAACATTCCCACACTGCTCACCACTGCTCCCTCCTTATCTCTGAAATTAGGGGGAGGGGAGTATAGTTTATGCCTCAGATAAAGGTCCAGTTTCTGAAGTATCATCCTTCAATAAAAAGTCGTAAATGATAAAGTAATTAACTTCAAGGAGCTTGCAATCTGCTACAGAGAGACAATATGTGCAGCATGCATCCCTTCATTCTAATGCTATAATTACTGAAAATGAGCTTGACTGGGTCTATGGATTCCAGTTGTCCATTCCCCCATTGAGATACATACCAGAGATTTGTCTCTCAATGTTACCTGGACCTGTTGCTGATGTTTGTCCTTTGTTCTTGAAGAGGACCAACATCAGGAAGGTGATGTCTTGACTTGCAAGTGAATTCAATTTAAATGAAAGCAGGGCTGTGCAAAGTCACCAGCCTCACTCTGTCCTCCAGAGCCATCTGAGTCCAGTGGGAAGTTGTAGATCAGGATGACTGGAGGCGGTCCGGGATGCAGTAGGAGACCTCAGCATTTTTTAAGCTAAGATCTTTCCCAGGTTTCATTTTGTGTGAGACATCACCCATTCAGTGATTAAGGCTAGGTAAGAAATGAGGCAAAAATTGGCCTCTTTTACCTAATGAGAGAGAGAGAGAGAGAGAGAGAGAGAGAGAGAGAGAGAGAGAGAGAAGTCTGGGAGGGGAAGAGTCTCAGGTTTTCTGGCCAAAACAGAAACAATTGCTATTTATACTCACTCTGGGCCTTCAAAACCCAAACAATGACCAAGTGAGGCTTGGACTGTTGGCCAATCAGAGAGAGCCAGAGTGATTTGAGTTTGAGGCATGGTAAGTAGCTCTATCTGAATTCCAATACCCTTTATCAAAGCCTGGGTTTCCAATGCTGTATTTCAAGAAATCATAAATGAAACTACATGGGGCAAAAGAGCTAACTGTCCCAGTTTTTTAACCATAGAATAAATAAGTAGGTGAGAGAAAAAATAAATTTTACCCATAAACCCCAAGATATCTTGCAAGGTTTCAGCAATCAAAATTTATATTACTTTGGACAGAGCACTCACAGGTAAGGGTATGATTCCCTATATGGACAGAAAAAGAGGAGGGAAGGAGAGGAAGGAAGGAAGGAAGGAAGGAAGGAAGGAAGGAAGGAAGGAAGGAAGGAAGGAAGGAAGGAAGGAAGGAAGGAAGGAAGGAAGGAAGGAAGGAAGGAAGGGAAAGAACAGCATTGCCCAAATGGAACTGGCCAGTTGGGTTCCCAGTGAAGCAGCTAGTACTACTCAATAGATTTTTTGTTTGTCCTTCATTCTTCAAGAGGAATAATGACATCAGGAAGGTGACATCTCGACTTGCAAGTGAAGATATGATAAATATAACCTACCCAAGTATCTGTAAATGCATCAATACAGGGAATTCTTAAAAAACAAAACAAAATTCCATCAACTATCTGTGTTTAGTAGTTAAATCCTAGGGAGATTCCTGATACATATAGAAGTCAAGTTACTTGGCCAGGGTCACACAACTAGTAAATGTCGTTTGTGGGATTTAAACCTAGGCCTTCTCAACTCAAAGCCAAAAGCCCTTTGTACCACACCATTTTAGCATTACATAAAATATAACCTGTATAATTTTAATGAGGAAACTTCTACCAAACTAATTTCTAGTTGAATTAATTGTCAATATTATCTCCTTTTTAATATATATTTAATATATTTACATTTTAATATTTTAAATAATTAATATTTAAATATTAATAATATTTCATCTTAAAAGTTAAAGTGGTTCTCTTGCCTTGCTATTCTATACCATTTCCCCCCACAGTGGTTCATTTCACAAGGGGAAAAAAAGAATGGCTTCAGAGGAAATCTGGTTTCAGAAATCAAATTCAAGCATAAACTCTCCAACAAGAACTACTCCTTGCCCTGAAGTGTGTGTGTGTGTGTGTGTGTGTGTGTGTGTGTGTGCGCACTATCCTTCACCATTCTAAATTTGAAATTCTTTTAACTCCTTTAAACTGAAATATGCCACCTAGAAAAGGCATTTGGGAAAATAGCAAGTACTTGATTTAAAAAGTTGCAGGCCCCTATTTCCAACTGCCTTTAGAATATTCCCATTATCACCTAAAACTCAACACCTGTAAAACCAAACATCATCTTCTTCACTACACTAGTATCTGAATGGAGTGATTGTTTTACTCCACCCCCACCCCCACTTAAAGTAAGTGATATGATGCCCAATCAAGTTCAAGTTTAGGCCTTAGATTAAGTGCAAAAAGTGCTTTGAACTAGATTGATGTTGCACAAGAATACTGGTTGAGAGGGGGCGGAGCCAAGATGGCAGCTTGAATGCAGTGACTTGCTTGAGCTCTCCCCCAAACCCCTCCAAATACCCGTAAACAAATGGCTCTAAACACATTCTAAAGCACCAGAACCCACAAAAAGACAGAGTAAAACAAATTTCCAGCCCAACACAGCCTGGATGGTTGATAGGAAAGGCGTACAGAAATCTATCCTGCCCTACAGGAAAATAGAAGGGGAAAGGGATAAGAGAAGGGGGGGAGAGACAGAAGGGAAGGCAGACTAGGGAAAGGGGTATTCAGAATGCATGCCATTTTGGGGTAGAGGGAGGGGCAAGATGGAGTGAAAATTTGGAATTCAAAATCTTGTGGAAGTAAATGTTGAAAACTAAAAATAAATAAATTTACATAAAAAAATAAAATCACACAACAGAAAAAAAAAAGAAAAAAAAAGAAAGAAATGATGAGCAGGCAGAGTTCAGAAAAACCTGGAAAGAATTCCATGAACTGTTGCTGAGTGAAGTGAGCAGAACCAGGGGAATATTGTACACAGCAACAGCAACATTGTGTGATGATCAACTATGATAGACTTATTTTTTCTCAGCAATACAAGACATTTCCAAAAGACTCATGATGGAAAATGCTATCTACATCCAGAAAAAGAACTATGGAGTATGAAAGCAGATTAAAGCATATTATTTTCACTTTTTAAAAATTTCTTCTTTCTCATTGTTTTTCCCTTTTGTTTTGATTCTTCTTTTACAACTTGACTAACGTGGAAATATGTTTAACATGATTTTACAAGTATAGTCTATATTAAACGAGGGAGGGAGAAAAATTTAGAACTCAAATTCTTACAAAAATGAATGTGGAAAACTATCTTTACACATAACTGGAAAAAAATAAAATCCTATTAAGTGTAAAAAAGAAAAGATAAAAGTACCAACAATTAAAAAATTAAACTGACTCTGAGATTTTTTCTTACATAGAGACACTTCTTTTTTCATACTTCTAATATTTCTTTGTTCTACCTAGAGCATTTCTTTTCTGTTCCCACTTCTACTTTTTATTTTGAAATGTCTGCTTTCAAATTGTTTCATTTTTTTTATGTCCTGGCAGCATTTCTTTTCTGTTCCCACTTCTACTTTTTATTTTGAAATGTCTGCTTTCAAATTGTTTCATTTTTTTTTTATGTCCTGGCACCTGGTAGGACATTTATAAGATTCAGTTTTAGGAAATGGCTTAGCTAAATTTTTATGGTGAGTAAAAACAAGTATGACATCATTGAACAGATTGAAGTCTGGGGTTCTTGTTGGAAATTTGTGACCTTTCTGGCCATTGGCATGTGATTTTTTTTCTTTTACCCATACTCATGAAAGCCAAGAAGCAAAGGCATCAGAGCCAATAATACTTCAATACCATGTGGATAAATATAGCCAGAAGTAAGAAAAATCAAGCTTGTAGTTTTCAGGATTGATTTGTTGAACCAGAAAATCACAAGGAAGGAAGGCTATGTCAAGTTCAAAGACTTGAGTCTCACCTCAGCCCCTTACTCATTATAGCATTTTTTTTTTACTATTTGCTAAAGATGAGTCAGTTTTTCCATCAAAAGAGTAAGGAGGTTAACAGTGGATTAATTTACAAGACTCTTGAAGAAATGTCATTATTACATAACAACATTTCAGTATGTACATAATCTTATAGATACGAATATTCCCTCCAGCAGTGCAGATTACAACCACCCACACCTAATCTGTGCAATCTAGGCCTGTCTCCTTCTAGTAATTCTTCTGTTGAGAGCATCCTGATTTGGATACACACCTAAAGATTCAAGCTGTGTTGCATTAGCCCCGAGTTAGTGCGAAGCTCCCCATCCTGAATGAAACACAGCTGAGAGTAATGCTGCCTTCACCAGGAACTTTTAAGGAAACAACTTTCGGAGAGTTGGTAATGTGGGAGGCCAGAATGCATTAAAGAAAGGTTTATGGGTAAGGCAAAGAAGGCTGAGGAGTACTGAAGGGAGGGTGCCAAATAGAAAGAAGGAAGACTCCTTGTGCCAGGCCCCTTTGGCCTCAGCTTACAGAAATTAAGGGTCTTTCTCACCTTCTTCTTCTGCACACTGATAGAACCTCAGAATCAAGAGAAGGGAGGTAGAAGTTGCTGAGATCCCAGCCCATCATTCTAATAGCCAAAATGACTCATTTGGGATTCCCTAACAAATGAAAATTCCATCCCCTGCCTGACAGTCTTTGCACACGGTATGTCAACATTCTCCCTCTTCATCTCTGCCTCTTAGAATCCCTAGGTCTCTTTAAGGCTCAGCTCAATGACAACCTCCTGTAAGAGGTCTTTCCTTATTCCATGCCTCCCCCTCAACGTGTTAGTGCTCTTGTCCAAAATTTTATATTGTATTTATTTTGTGTGTTTGGTACCTATTCATCTGCGTATATGTTTTCCCCCGAGCAGAACATAAGCAGGAACTTTTTCATTATTTATCTCTGCATCCCCAGTGCCTAGCACCATGCCTGGCACATAGCAAACACCTATTCAATGTCAAAGTGAATTAAAAGTAAACTATAACCTCCCCAAGGGTCCCTACAGTGCCTCAGACTTTGAATCTCAGGAGGCAGCATTGGCTAGTAGATGGGGTGCTGCACTTGGAGTCAGGAGCACTTAGATTAAAATCCCACTTCAGACACTTACTAGCTATGTGAACCTGGACAAGTCATTTAAAATCTCTGTCCCTCGATTTCCTTATCTGTTGGAATAAATGGCCTCTAAAGTTTCTTCCAACTAAATCTATGATCCTATGATTTGCCTATAGTCGGTGCCCATTAAATAATTGGATGCATGAATTAATAAATGAAATCACATTTCTCCAATCTATAGTATTCATACATCTCTCTTCTTTTGATAATAGGTTTAACTTCAGGCATGCTTCAATAGCCCTGATAAAAGCAGAATGTTGGAAAATATAGGAAGAAAATAAAATAAGTTTTACTCTATGAACTTCATAGTCAAACTTCTGAGCTTGAGGGAAGCTACATTTCAGTAAGGCAGAATAGTTAAGAGTACTAATGCAAAGAGGGGAAAAACATTACAAAACAATTATTGTGTTTTACTGCAGAAATTAATGACTCCTACAAAATCCCTAGACCTTGGGGTAACAGGTTCTGAAAATTAACTGAAGGGCCTGCTTTTAATCCAGTGTGATACACTGATGGCCACCTGAGATCTATTGTTCTAACCAAGCAAAACTGACAGAGGATCATTAGAATACTCCTGTTTCAGGTGTTTGATTGAACTAGAATGTGTAGGTTCTGGAAACCTAGGTACAAATAGTGCCATGGTTCCATCCAAGGTAATTTTTTGGGTAATGAAGCATACAAACACTGATTGAAGAGATGGGGTTGACACTATGTCCATTTCTCAAAATGACTGATGTCAGTTGAATTATACTACTAGTATACAAATAACTGATTTCAAATTCATAGAATTTTGGAGGTAAAAGGACCTTAGAAATGACTTCATGCAATTCACAGATGAGAAATGATTTTGTGTGCAGTATTTAATACAATGATTCAATTCCCCATTGCCTATAATGAAACAGGCTTTGTGAATTTTAGGGATTAACTGGGTTAATGTCATAGGGTTGTAATGTCATATTTTCTTTTAGATGAGAGAATGCCATATTTATCTATATTTCCTTTGTCTTCCCTTTGAATGTAGGGAGGAACTATTTAGTTAAGCAGGATCAAGTAGGAATGTACAGTGATAAGAATACTGACTCTGAAGTCAGAGGCCTTGGGTTCAAATCTCTTCTTTGATTATGACTACTTTTGTGACCTTGGACAAGTCATTTAACCTAGGTGGACCTCCGTTTCTTACTAGGTAAAATGAGGGTGTATATGTAAGGTAGATATTGTTATTCTTTTTTAGATAATAGTTCCCAGGACCGTAGATATTAGTTCCCAGGATTCATGGTTATAAACAATTTCTACCACTACTGCACAGTGAGATAAAACGATGAGATAATGTAAACATTTGAGTTTAGTTGTAAACAGCCCACTGTGAATGATCTGTGCTGAATCATTGTGAGGCTATTGCTGGCAAATCACCTTCCTTGTGTTCTCCCCTACAAATCAGGTAAGCATTGGTCAGTAGGTGAGGATTTGGGGAATGTGCCAGCTGAAAGCTGTGCGTGTCTTGACCTGCCCCCATCAAGGCTTGGGGGGAATGCACAAGCTGGAATGTGTGTGTGTGTGTGTGTGTGTGTGTGTGTGTGTGTGTGTGTGTGTGTGTGTGTGTGTGTGTGTCTCAAGCTGCCATTGAGACTCAGGGGAATGTGATAGGAGCTGGAGTTCCTACTCTCTGTATATTCTTGCCCACCCCTGCAAGAAGAGTAATTAGGGGATGCTGTGGGAGTTGGTGATCTCATTATCAGCAACATCATTGAGAAGAAAGAATAAAGTAATTAAATACCCTCTTATTATGTCTCCGTTGCTGTCCTGGTTGCCCAGATCAAGAGTTAACCTCCTAGAAGCTGGAGCCCAAAAGCTCCAGTGACTCCTGTATTACAGGGTGTTAGACTAGAGAGCCTCTGAGGTCACTCCCTTTCATCTGAAGATCCATGATCTTATGATCCTGAGAAAGGAGATGAAGCCCCAAATAGCTGCTAATGATTAGAAAACTTTCCTAATTAGTGAGAGGTAGCCTGGAATTTTAGAATGGTGTGTTCTAACCAGGTCTTCCCCTCAAGAGAGACAGGCTTTGAGAGTATGGGCCAGTGATAGACTGCGTGTTTGTTTTGCAGCCAGCCTGGCTAAGTTTTTTACCAAGTTGCTACAGAGTGATTAAAATTCAGCCATAACAACTTTCCAGTACCATGTCCTTTGCTATTGGGATCTACATTGCTCTACACTAGTGAAGGCAATACCTACAACAACAGAATCATAGATACTTTAAGTATCGAAGTATGTATAGGAGATACAGCATGGGGCTGTGGGTAGAAATTGGGAAGATCTAGGTTCTAGACCTGCCTCGGTTAGATTCAAGATTCACCTTGGGACTTTTTTCCCCAAAAATCATAGAAACCTCTTCACCCTGATAATTCACTCCACCCCTGGACTACTCCTCACCTTGATCCCGCCCTACCCCCTTCAGCTTGTCCCTCTGATTGACTGGTTCCTCTCAGATCCTCCATTTTAATGCAATCCAGGCCAACTGTGTCATCATTCTTTTATAGGCTTCAACTGAAGACTGACTATCCACGAGACCTTCTCTATCATGCTTCATCATTGGGTACCTGCCTCCCTTCTCATCTCCTTTGTAAGTATGGTCTTTCCCCTTTAGAATGTAAGCTCCAGGAGGGCAAGGATGGTCATTCATTCAGTTTGTATTTATGTTACTAAAGCTTAGCATTATGCCTGGAACATAGTAAGCACTTAATAAATGTTTGTTGACTTGACTTATAGGTGTTCTGGGCCAGTGGACCTGGGATGACTTGAGTTAACCCCGATACTCCCGCAACAACAACTAGGTCTATTATGAGCCAAGACACTATAGAGTAGATCTGGGCCAGTTTGAGCTAACTTTGTCCCCCGATTAATTGATCTGGGACACAGCTATAGGCCCTTTGGTAAGAAGTACACAAAGACAACTCTAGGATTCTGAAATGGACCTCCTAAGACTCCTGGGAATATCTTTGCACACTGCTTTTGTCTTCTTTTTGACACCTTGTGGACCACTTTTACCTAGGGGCTGCTGAATACATTTTTATTAAGGAAATTACATATCCTAATCTTCAGGCTTTGAGTGGTCCTTTGCATCAGATGTGAAACTATAACTGGGATAATAGGCAAGCTAATTAACCTCTCAGCAATCCAAGTACTTCTCTAAGACTTGAAGTTGTAGATGAGATATATGCTGATGAACTTACAGGTCCTGCTCCACCCCCATAATATATATAGTTATATGTGTATATATACACACACACACACACATGTATTTATAATACATATATTTCCCTAAGAGGCTGGTGATTTATAGCACATACGTACATTGCAAGATCTTTTAAGTGATATATTAAAATAGAAGCAAATCTAAGTAAAACAAATACACACACATACACACATTGGAATAAAAAAGGCATAGCAACAGCAGGCAGTGGGTTGTAACAAAAAGAAATAGAGAGAAAAAATATCACTAATGTACCATGTCTGATAGGTGACTTGCATAATATGAAATATTCCAGTTCTTTCATGCTATTTTTATGCAAATGTGGCACAGCTTGCCCTGTGTACTTATGAGACTGTGTGCCTAGAGTACCAATAGGCAGCCTTGGGCAAACACCCAGACATGAAAACCTCACAAGAGGAAGAACTCAAAAAGACAGCTATGCCACCATGAAGTTTTCCAGCCTTTTTTTTCAGGCTTGGGTCGGAGCTACTACTTAGGTGTTTGGCTATTCTGTAGATTGTTGTGTATCATACATTGCCCCTTTGACCTAGAGGAACCATGTAAATGTTTGCTCTAAAAGACTGGCTCATTTCTAACTGAAACACAGCAGCTTAATTTGCCACAATTTAAGCTCAATTCTGCTGCCCTGCATGAAAACATTCAAGTCCTTATTGATAACTACTATGAACTAGATTCCATATAGGGAGGGGGAATCCAAACAATCATTCAAGGAAAATGTATTAACCACCTACTGTGTGCCATGCACTATGCTAAAGGCTTAGGGACACAAAGTCATTTATTTCAAGGAGCTGACATACTAATGAGGGGGAAAGGGTGGAAAACATCATGAACATATGCAAATACATAAAACACTCAAAAGTTGTTACACAGTAGTTTTGGCAAGAAGGATGCTAGCAATTGGGGGAAATGGGAATGGTTTCATGGAGAAGGTACCACTTGAGCAGAGTATTAAAGGAATATCACTCCTCTCTAGTTTATTGAAAAGCAAGCTATAAAGCTAGGTTCTGATTAGAACAAATAATGAAACTGTGAAGCAGCTGTATGTATTCAAATCTGCACTATTCTAAATTATAAGTTTGTAAAATATGTTCACTGGTTCCAGCCCAATTGAAATAGGCAGTGCAAATTCAAATAATTCAACCACTTCATGGATTTATTGTTTGAACTAATTGGGGTATACCTTGATACCTTTGTTTGACCTGCTGTTCCTCAGTCTAGTGCCTATAAGTAAACTGTGGTAATGCTGTCAAAAGGAATTAGTGACGTAGATTTAATTCAACAAACTTTAATTGAATACTCCAAAGCACCATGTATCCATTTTGGTTTTTCCGGTGAAAAACCTCTAGCTAGGGTTCAATATAATAAGTGAGCTCTCTGGCTGACTGTTTCTAACTTTCACAGTATTATGACACATTGATGGTTCACCATCTAGTTAAGGTCTGTCCCCAAGTTTTATTTCACCCAAGGTTAATAAGGCTATAAGAAATTGATGTACCCTAGGACCCCATATCCAGCTACAGCCAGAATCAGAAGTCCATGACCAACTGGACACCAAGCTTCTTCTTAGAAAACAGCACAGGTGTTAACAATGGATGAAGGACTGTGTATGCATCTAATAGATAAGTACAGTTCAGTCTGGGCAAGCATATACACAGGCACACAGCACTGACATAAAATGGTTCATAGTGCTATCTTAACAGAGGAAGGGAAAAGTTTATACTATGGGTCATTTTAGGTCTCTGCTATGTGTCCATATAGAGCCTTACCCAACTTGAACTGTCCTTATCTATTAGATACATATACTAAGTTCTTTACAAAAGAAATTTTAATCAGAAAAATTTTAAGATTACCAGTCTCTTATGGAAAAAGAGCAACAAAATACATTCTACCAGTATTCCTGAGTCTCACCAGGTCTCTGTACCTTCCAAATAATTTATTTCCTTGGCACTCATCTTGATGCCCATCACCCCCACTAACCCTTCACATGGTGATATCTCTAATATTGTGAGAGGGGAAAGACTCCTCCATTCTGGCCTTAACTTCATGCAACTGTTGTCCTCCCACAAAATCACCCCTGTAGATAAAATAATAATAATAAAGGAAAAAGACTTTACAGATGAAGGGCAGCAAGGTGGCACAGTGGATAGAACACCAGGCCTGGAATCAGGAAGATCCAAGTTCAAATCCAGCCTCAGACACTTACTAGCTATGTGACCCTGTGCAAGTCACTTAACCCTGTTTGTTTCAGTTTCCTCATCTGTAATATGAGCTGAAGAAGGAAATGACAAACCATTCCAGTAATATTTGCCAAAAAAAACCCAATACTGTGAAAAGGGATATACTCTCCCCATTGTGGCATCAACTTCATGCAACTACTATCCTACCACAAAATCACCCCTGTAAAAAATAATAATATAGGGAAAAGACTTTAGAGATGAAGGCTGTTCAATCGATGTGGTATAGAAATCTAGACTCCTGATGTTAGTGTGTTCAGAAACCACCACGAGCTGGGGCTCTTCCCAAAAGTCTGTTCAATACCTGAATCATCACCAAATATTACTCTTCTTCCCCCTTTTTAATTTTGAAATAATTTAGGTTCCCATTTCATAAAATTAGTGGATTAATTCACCCTTAGGAAAGTCTGGGAATATGACTCCACCCAAAATAGCTACTGTGCCCTGATGAATCCAATATCATCCTATCCCAATTGGATTTTGTGACTCAGGCATGGGAGTTTCAACACAAGAATATATTTACAAGCCCATATCACTATCCTCTACTCAGGCAACATTCTGGTAAGGTGCTCACTATTTACTATACATTCTGATATCCACGCAGTTCACAGCTATCCCAGCAGTTAATAACTATTAACTTGGCAAATTTGAATCCATTTCATTGTAGTATATGAAGGTAATGCGATATTTTATACTATAAGAAATGACAACAAAGAAAAACCTGGGAAAACTTATGTGATAGAAAGTGAGCAGAATGAGAATAATTTAAATAATAACAACATTGTAAAACAACTTTGAAAGACTTAAGGACTCTGATCAACTCAGTGAGTACCTGTGATTCCAAAGTACCTATGTTGAAGCATGCCACTGCCTGCCTAACAGAGAGGTAATAGGGATAAAATGAGACATTCGTTTTCAGATATGATGAATGGAGGAATTTCACTTGCTTCACTATGCATATTTGTTACAAAAGTTTTATTGGGTTTTCTTTCTCAGGTGAGGTAAGGGATAAGGAGAATATCAAAAATGTTACAAAAAGAAAAGAAAGAGTAGTAATTGAAGCATTTTTAAAATGCATAGTAGAGAATAGAAGGAAAAAGAGAAAGAAATAGACAAGCAGGACAACTTGGAAAGTTACATTAGAAGTTTATTATATATTTAAAAGGAAAAGGAAGATGGAGTGGTGATTTGCAGTTTTCCGTACAATCTTGTTTTTCTGTTCTGCTTGGTACATGGAAATGCTAATTTTGTTTGGCATTTGATAAAATAATTTATTTTTAATTTTAATCTTCTACTCAAATTACAAGTCATCCTTAAACAGGTTTCAGAGACCTGAAAGACCTAAGACAGCAAGCATTGCCCTTTAGAGACTGATATATGAGTATCTACCCACTATTATTGGGTCTAGTGGGTCTAGTCCACCTAGACATCATGAAATAAGACAATCACTTTTTGATCTCCCTCCAGTTTATCAGTTTCATTATCCTAGAGGATAGCCAACTATAGCCCTCACCAACATCCCTAAAACACCTTGTGTTTCTTTTTTCCCATCTCCTTTCTGCTAAAACAGACTCTAACCTGCATCTCTCAATTGTCCCCCAGCCTCTGTTATAAGTAGACTACAAGTATCTGCCTGAGCATTAGACATAAGGAACAACTCCCCCTCTTCATTTATCCATAATTGGCAAAAGCCTCCCCCTAAAGTAACCCATTATTAACTAGACCCCCACCATGCTGAGCAGAGAATACTAGGAAGTGTCTTTCGTCCTTATGTAGTGACTTCCTCAGTTTTCTGACCAGGATTGGATTAGATTATATCAGTAACATCTTACATTTGCATTGTGACTCTGGTATGTTGAACTCTTCCTAGCACTGGACTTGCTTCTAAGTACTTCCTGTTGTTCCAATTTCCTTCCCACTTTAATTGGGCCAGAGAGATTTGGATGGCTCAACCACATTGTATTTAGCTGCCCACTCCTCCTGTAACTGAGGACAGAAATTGTAATCAGAGTCACCTATGGAAATGCCCCCATTCTTTCCACTTTAGGCCCATTCTGAGCAGATTTGAAAGGTACCAGGAAGTTTTCCTACCCCCCCAATCTCTTTTAGTGGCTT